AGCAGGGACGGATTTAGTGCCCCCACACTAAATTTAGAATTTCAAATTTTTGAAAGAACTCCTTGTATGTTTTAACTTTTGCCCCATGATTTTTTTTGTAATTTGCCCCACAAATCTTTTCTTCTAGCTCCACCCCTATTTGTGCGTCACAGAAAAGAGTTGATTTCTGATAAATCTGGTTGTGAGAATGGGAATTATGAAGCTTGACATTGTGATCCTTTGGTGCATTTGGCATACAATAAATAACACAACCTCCAAAGGGAAGGACAAAATAAAAAACGGATCAACTGAAAGTAGATACGCAAAACTTATTTTTTTATTTTCTTGATAATTGTTTTTATTTTATTTTATTTTCACTTTTTGATACATTAAAATGGACTAAACGGTTCAACAATTTGACCTAGTGATTTGATGCTTGACAAGGTTATCATGATGGATTTTGATAACTACGAATTGAACCTAAGTGAGAATTTTTTTTCAATGACTAGAGCTCGCTTGTGAAATCAAAACGGATTGATACAATAACATTTGATATGAGAGTTCGATTTATTTAACAAAATCTTGTAAAAATGTATTAATTTTCTCAAGAATCAAATGCGTTCATGTTGGACCCTTTAAAGCCATGTTTGAAGTTAGGAGGTTCTGGAGCTCGTTGGAATCAGCAAAATAAACAAAAGAGGAAGAGAAAATGAAGAATTTGCCATAAATGATAATGATAGAAATCATCACACAATTGATTGGACAAATGATGCGGAGAGATTTGAGTGAACAATGAGACATAATTTGACGAGTGACGAAGAAGTAGAGATATGGGGATGAGACATTTGAAGGATCCAAATTTAAGAGACATTGGATGTGGAATAAGATTTGGGATGTCAAATGTTGGACTTGGGGTGGGGGTGACTTCAATGGTATGACATTGTAGGGGAAAATGAAGTGTAAAGAGTATGTCGTTGTTATTGTAACCGCCGCAAGTTTTTGTCGAGGACAAATTGTGCTAATTAATGAAAGGATAATACTACTATACCCGAATGACTCATTCTGTCAAGATGACCGAATGATTAAAATTCCAAAAATATCCTTATCTAGAAATTATAGCCAAAAACCACTATAAAAACATAAAAACTTCAAATTAGACCCAAAAATTTTAGTTAAAATATAATTTTGATTCCGCCGACTCTGCGCTAACTCTGTGCACTATGTGTAATTGGTATCAGAGCCATGTTAGATCATGGAAATTGAAATAATTAAAAATGATTGGTACTATATAGTAAGAGAAAAAGATGGTTTAAGTTATATGTTAGAACCTCTCCCTAAGAAATTAAAAATATTAACATTAATTATAACAAAAGAGATACCAATAAAAACAAGAAAACAAATATTAGAAAA